TAATAACCCATTTATATACTTAAAATGTGAGAACATAAATTAGGATTACCCTTTTACGAACAGAATGGATTTGACAAAAATTGATTTTATTTCAGTCGACTTAGTTTCATGATTAGTCCCAATCAGATATAAAAAATAAATTTTTTCTTGGTATTTTTAACATACCATATGTCAAGAAAGTACTAGGAAACAGTCCATGAAACACAATATATGTATTACTTGCCAAAATCTATTGTATCGCTTTTAAAGGAGACTCTTTCCAAATTAATACACTTATACCAATGTTGTATATTGGTATATAACATAATAATAATATATCAATCATTATTTTCTTAACACAATTTTTTTAATCGATTTCAGTACTCACCGCGAATGTCATATATTGACTGAAAACAGATGCCTCGAAGTGGTAAACAGAGTTTTAGAAAACAAGAGTCGGCTGGAGCCATATCAAAAGAAGTACGGTGGCTGATTGATAAGATTTGCTGAGTTTTTAATTAGAAACTCAATAACAAAAATAGCGGAGATATCATGGTACAAAATCCATAAGTGCTCTTTTTATATATCTGGTCCTTTTTGACGAATTTACTCTTTCAAACTCTGCATAACGCTCATATAATATGTTATTATTTATTTACTGTCTCATCTACGGACGAGAATTTCGATGTAATCCATAAGTGCTCTTTTTATATATCTGGTCCTTTTTGACGAATTTACTCTTTCAAACTCTGCATAACGCTCATATAATATGTTATTATTTATTTACTGTCTCATCTACGGACGAGAATTTCGATGTAAAAAAAAACTTTCAGCACCTTTATCTTGTAAACCTATTTCTCATCACCAGTAACAATGCATTTTATGAATGTGTAGACAAAATTGATTTGGAACTCATAAAAAATGTCATTAAAATCGGAAACGACCACACCCCGTTTGTAAAAAAGTGACACGTACCTACATAATATAATAAAAATAAATTTAACAATCACATTAATTATTTAATTATTTAACATTAATTATTTATGAACTTTGATTGGAACAAACCTGTTTTTTCAACTTTCAAAATCGTTGGTGATTTCGTGGATAGCATTACATATCTGTTATATCTTAGGTTAATGGCATAAGTGGGCTCTGCCTTACATAATATAGATCATCACTGGTATTTACCATCAACTACCTTGTTTTTCTAATAAATTAAACTTGTTAAATTTGTTGGATCTTCTATTATCGCTATTGGCTTAATTGTCCGGATACAGTTTTTGGACTTCAAAGTCAAGTTCAAACTTTGAAGACACAAACCCTATGAAGACTTAATTTGCGTTATTCAATTATCAGAGCTGTACCCCAAAATCGAACAACACAAGAGAAGTAAAGGGTTAATTAGGACACGTAGCTCTGCATTTCAAATTTAGAAATGGAAAATTTCAAACCTTGGTGCTGGCAGTCTAAAAAGAAATCGTTAACGAATAATTGTATAAAAGAAATATTTCTATAAAAACCTGTGATGATGGGTATTTAGCAATACTCGAAAAAGAAAGCTGTATATCACTGATAATGGATAATTGTCGATATCCAAAACAGGGCAGTTCAACGATTAACTTGATTAAAAGTCAAAATATTTTTTTAATATGAAAAGTTTTGTTTTTTAATGGACTTTTCTATCCGAAATGAATTTCTTGTTATATGACATAAAATTGTTGTATTATATATTATATATATATATTAAACAAAATAAATTTTTACAGAGTTACAGAATAGTTATCATCATTTGTTAAAGTAATAAGGCGAGGCCTTGAAAATCTTCTCCTTATAGAATAAAGTTAGAAAAAAAGTTACTCCTAACATTGAGTAATTGGTTCTCTAGGAATATTTTGCATGAAGGTGGAGAACAATGTATATGGAGTCGGGTAAGCGTGATGTTCTAAAATTTAGTGACAGGTTCGAATTCATAGGTAAAGATTTTATTTTCAATATGTTTTGCGATTTCTTTTTTTATTTTATTGGTTTGATGAAATATAATTAATAATATAATACATATATTAAATATTTTAATCAACACAGTTACTTTCTATATGTATGTATATAAAAATATCACCAATCAATCATTTATTTAAATGAATTAAATATTAAATAATTTTTTACCCTTTCTATTTTTAACTAGTTTCCTTTTTAAGTTGAACTTTATTGTGATTAATATATATTACAATATATATATATTTTTTTTTTATCTTGAAAATGAGTTCCATCGAGTTAAAAATACAATTTTGCCAGCGTTTGAACCAATTCTAGACTTAATTTTTCGCAACTAGATAAGGTTTAGTTTTGAACTACTTTAGGAAAATTTCTTTTAAGACTGGAAATGATTGGAAATGCCTTCTTTGGAATGATTATTATAGCTTCGGGAACAAACAAAATTGCACGGAATAATATAAGGTGAGTATTGTGTTTGGTCATTTAAATTTGTGGAGCTCTTTTGCTAACGTTTGGATTTAAAGTATAGCGATACGTTTACAACTATACTTAAATGCAAGTACAATTTTAATTACCTTGTCATAGGGATTTGACGAAGAAATTTAATAAAAACAATTATTTTAATCGAAAAATCTTGCGCTCCTGTCTTATAGCTTATGAATATATTTCTAATTTTTCTATTTAGAAACTTTACATGACAATTACCAAGAACAACCATTTTACTTGTTATTTGTTTTTTGTAAAAAATAAATAACTGTAAACATCGATACCTCGAGAAGTGAGCTATATCTTTTCACAGCACAATGGAAAAAGAATGTTACAATTTACTAAAATCCAATTCAGTTGGTATATCTAAAAAGTAAAAAACAAATAAGATAATGCATGCATGGTATAGTGACGACTCTTTCACTATAAAAGAATTCGGAGCCGGCATTTATAGACCGAAAATGAAAGCACTCGGAAGCACTGAGAAAGCTGCAGCTATCTTGTAAGTAGAAATTTATGTAAGAATACACAGGTGTGTTCTTTTCAAACTAGAAATTAACTGTCAGAATTGTAGAATAACTAACTCAGTTAAAGGCCACGTAACTAAGCACTAAACTCTCATTGGGTGATATCAGAGCGGACGCAAATACTCAAAGTACTCAAAGTTGGTGGATCCTGTAGATTTTGGTTTACTTTGGAGTTTTTAGTAACGAAATGAAAACCAGTTCTTCAGCTTGCTACTTGCAGGTTCAGAGTCATTCTGAGATCACAAAAATATGATTTTTTCAAATTATTTAGAGAAAATAGATGAAAAAAGTACGCTAATAGCATCGGTGAAAGAAAGCTGAACTAGCCTCAGTGCTGGATATGGCTCCTAGATGTTATATATCAAGTTTTAATAATGGTTATGATTTTATCTCATATGGCTATAGTATCAAAGCCATGCCATCTAATTTACTTATCTTACCAAAGTATCAACAGCTGTTTGAGAATCTAAAAAACCAGATACAGAGGACAGTTATAAAGAAATTCTATGTACTACTATGCAATGATTCAAATCGTGCGTAACTGGCTTAAAGATATTATATATATATTATTAAAATATTATCTAAAATCTTTAGCAAAATTCTTATTCCAATCAAAGTTGGTCTGGGAATGCTTTCAACTTCTCAACACCCTAGCATCGAGGAACTATGTTACTCTTATGTGGGTACCGGGACACGTAGGGTATGAGGGCAATGAAATAGCAGACTCCCTAGCAAAGAAGGGTGCATGTACTCCTTTCATTGGCCCAGAGCCCTTCTGCGGGGCAACAAATAGCTTCACAAATAGCTTATTATGTGAACGGGAGAAACAACATCTATTTGAACACTGGAGAGCCCAAACAGGTATGCGACAGTCAAAAAGATTCAGTGATCCTGATCACATCAAAGTTGATGCTATCTTTAGCCTTAGCAGAAACGATATTAAAATCTACACTGAACTTCTTACAGGACACTGTAGACTTAATTACCACATGAAGATTATAGGTGTGGTAGAAAGTGACTCCTGTCGACTCTGTCATGAGGAAAAGGAAACATCAGAACATGTTCTATGCAACTGCCCAGCGGTGGCAAGACGTAGACTCGATTACCTTGGAAGCGGGATATTAGTCCCAAGTCAAATAGGTAAAATTAAGCCCACAGCAATTACAAGATTTATAAATAGTCTAAAATTGTCCTAGTTGGGCCTTTAAGCGCACAATAGATCTTTTAGGCCGGGGTGCTTTAATAGCCTATTACTTAAATAAATAAACAAAAAAATAAATATATTATTATATCTCCCCTTTTGTGAACTTATTATCAATATATATTTTGGAGATCTTATTAATGTTAATCTGTTTTCATATTTTTGGGACCTGTTTCTTAGAACGTATACTTAAGTTTTTAATTGCTTATTTACCTTGTGTTGTCTATGGGTATTATGATTACTGTACTGCGAGTTATGTACTATTTATTAGATTATCAAAATGTAAACTTTAAATTGACTTTAATGAGTTTATTTCTAATACAATATATTCTAATTAGAATTACGAAATTATTTTCGGCAATATTTCTACTAGAGATGAAATGAATACAGATTTTCTACTTTGGTTTTAATGCTTATCTCTTCTAGTTCATAGTATAAGAATTATGGACCCCAAAGTAATGAAAAATATTTATTTCTGACTACTATCTGTATGAATGGGTCGTTATTCCTTTCCCAGTATTGATTAGAGTTGTGATGCACTCAGTTGATTCTTATAAGAATCATTTTATATATGATCTTATAAAACATTTTTATAAAAAACAGTTTTTATAATTTAAATGGCCTATCCATTTTGAGGCGATTGAGAATATATTTGAGCTAACATGTATACGTAAAATTTCTTTATTCTTTTATTATTATTAAATATTAGGCTATAAACGCACCCCGACCTAAAAGATCTATTGTGCGCCTAAGGTCCAATTAAAACAATTATAAACTATTTATAAATCTCGTAACTGCTGTGGGGTTAATTTTACCTATTTGATTTAAAAACAAGATCAAGCTTCCAAGGTAGTTAAGTCTACGTCTTGCCGCCATTGAGCAATTGCATAGAATATGTTCCGATGTTTCCTTCTCTTGACATAGTCCACAGGTATCACTTTCTACCGCACCTAAATTCTTCATGTTGTAATTGACTTTACAGTGTCCCGTGAGAAGTTCAGTGTAGATTTGAATATCGTTTGTGCTAAAGTTAAGGATAGCGTCAACTTTAATGTGTTCAGGATCAATAAATCTTTTTGACTACCGCATGCCTGTTTGGGCTCTTCAGTGTTCAAGTAGACTTTGTTACTCCTGTTCACATATTAAGTTGTTTGTATTCTTTATTCTTAGTATGGTCTGCAATTTTGTGCATGTGTTTCCGAATTTTCAACACATGAAATTCATCTACAGTAGTCTCACATAAAAATGAATTCATCAATATTAAATCACATGGTTTAATAATATTAATATTTAATATATTTATGGATTCCAACCTGTAAAAAGATTTCTTTTAGGAAAAATAAATTAGCTATTGTGGCTACTACTGAGATAGCGTTGAGTTGATATACTTCTTTAAATGCATACTTTGAATGTCCACTATACGCGATTTTTATCCTACACTGTGTATTAACCCTCAATAATCAATCTAGTGTATCCACACCCAATAACTTACAATGTAATGATTCTAAGGAAGACTAGGTCACCAATTGGGACTGCAATCAATGTGTATTTGTGGAATCAGAAAGTTTATTAAAAAAATACTTTATATTTATTATAAATGTCTGAAAAATATAATTTGAAACTATAAACGCCGTTTAATCTAAACTAGTTCTACCCCGTAATAAGTAGGTAGGATATAAGATCTGTCGTGCCTCGAAACGTTCTTGCCAAGATTAATAAAATTTTTCGGAATATTTTAATTTTTATTTTTCTTATTACAATGGCTTAACCAGAGGACAGGATAAAGAGGTCTATAGTACGTCAAGTGGCTCTTCCGGTACTTAGAATTAACCTGATTTTTCGTTATATATCAATTTTTATATCAATTGAGATAAAAGTCGATCATGGCTAAGCTGTTATTAGTAGACAAAATTAAATTTTTCGAAATATTTGAATTTTTATTTTCACCAATACAGCAGCGTAACGAAGGGATGAGATAACGAAGTATATCATACCACGGGAATCACTTATAGCAGTGTACTCAAGATTAACTAGTTTTTTTGGAATTTTTCAATTTTTATTTTGATCAAGAGGAGAATCTTTAATGAAAATTGAAATTTCGATTTTTATTTTATTCAATTTAAGTTTATAATTGTAATATAATATAATAGTAATTATTTCAATATATATCTTTTGAAGAATATATGAATTTTAATGTTCTATTATAAGACGCGAATAGCGACATCTGGTTTATGATTTCTGTATAGTATATTATAGCAAGTGAATTTGTTAATGAACTTTCACTGTAAATTTACAAAATCTCCAAGTTCAAACATATAAATACGGCTTTGGGTCAGTTGGCTAATGAATACTGACTCTGAGCTTCAAATTTGGCAGGGTATGAATTCAACCCTTGGTACTTTCAGTCTCAAAAAATTATTTGCTAATAATGAAATATATTATTCATTCATTTATTTGTGTGCATTAATACTAAAATTAATTTTGAAAGAAACTAAGAATAAGCAATTGGACTGATAGATCCTTAGCCTTGTGTTTATAGGTGTAGTTGTTTAATATATTGTAGTCCCTATTCTTGATTGCATTGAAAAGGCTAGTGTCGTTGGTTGGGTTGTTGCAGCAATTTAAGTATTGTTTAATGGTTAGCATATATTCTAACCATTCTATATTCTATAATTTTATATTCTAAATAGAATATAGAATACACATACATTTTGATCATGTTGGTTGTACAGTCCTATTGTGCAAGTGAATGTGAGTTAGGTTGGAATGCCCTAGTCTCAATCTTATTATGATGCGATGCTGGAAATGTGATAAGATTAGTGATGAATAAGGTGTGTTTTTGTGTTGGGGTTAATCGTTTTATAGTAGTTAAAGTGATGCGTTTAAGTTGACAAATTCTCCTTTTGTATGTAGGATAGAGTTGCTTTTCTTATATCCTTTTTTGTGTAGTTGTTGATACAAAATGTGGGATTCCTTGACTTTAGCAAATTTGTTCGCAAATTCGTCACATTTTATGTCTATGTGGTCTTGGGTTTATAATAGCATTACATTTTTGCTACTTAGTAGTATTTCTTTTACTCGGTGTATTGGGGGTTCATCTGCCATGTGTTTTTTTATGACATTTAGAGATGAGAGGCTGTTGGAACAGTATAATTAAACATCAGAAATAATTCCAAGACCACTGATGTTGGATATTTGGGAATACTCAAAACAGCTATAAGGTCAGCCAAACATGCAATTAATTAAATAATAGAAAAAAAAGAATTTTTGTTGTTGTGGTTCATTATTTTTCGAAATTTCTCTAGAATAACTTAAGATTAAAAATTAAATAAAATATTGGGTATCCATAAATTGATCCGATAGTGCAGAATAAAAGAGATATAGCAACAAGGAAATAGATAATGCCTGTTTAGAAAATTTTCTAAAATATATCAATAAATATTTAATGTGGCCGTTTTAAATGTATTGTAGAAATGACACAAGAACCAGAAGGTACCAATGCAGTCCACACGACAGATCATAATTAAAATTGGAATTATTACCTTTTGTATTTTCGTTGTTCCTCCGTGAAGACTGCACTCTTGTGGCACTTCTCTTGGTCATGTTAGCGTGGAATTGTTTATCAGACAATGTCGCTTTCGTAGACAGTTTGAAGTTTAACATGTTGTCGATACTGTCTTGTGCCGCAGCAATTATGTTGCCACGATTGTTTTTGCAACAAACAATGTTGTTGCTGTTGTTATAGCTTTTGTTTTTTTTTTATAGCTATTGCAGTTATATATTTTCTTAATTTATACCAGAGGCTCGTTGGTGTAGTGATTAAGCCATACATAAACAACAACGACTCGCGTATAAGATTTACATTATATTTTTTTGACTATGAATGACTTTGCTTTTCTTTTTTAATGTACTTGAAAAATAGGTGGGTTTTGCACAAAAAAAACGGAAAAAGAAATAAGTAAATAAACATATATAGATATGAATAAAAAACTCTTATGTGCTGATACATAAATATACATATTTATTTGGTTATATTATTGAAAACCCAATTAAAATTTGTACGCTTAAGCCTTAACAGTTCACAACCGAAACATTTATCAAAACAGGGTCACCGCTGAAAGCCGCTTATTATTACCTCGAAAAGTAAAAATATCGCATATCACAAGAACATTGTGTTCGGGCTCGGTTTGTTGTGCGCTTAACGGGTAGAATTCTACTCGTAATGCCCAATGTGACTTAATATAGAATTAGGTACAAATTAAATTGTAATCAGAGAAACACTTAACAATGTATTCCATGTTCACAAAGAGTTTGACACGAAATTAGCGATGAACTGATAAAATCCAGCGTTGACATAAAATTATGGGTGTACCGCCATTTATAAGCTAGCTCTTCCAGTGTTATGGGTATTATTGGCGATGTAATCTATTATTTTGATTTTTGGGTCAAAAAGTGATTTTGTTTTGTAATACGTTTCATGTTAAAGAAGAATGAAAAATTATCTGTCATACAGTAACTTTTATAATACCATAGTCTATAGTGCTAAAATTTATTTATATTATTTTCTTAGAAGTGTTAGTTAGAATCTACCAACTTGGGTCAACTGTTAGGAATTTATTTTAAATAGGTTTCTTACAGTTAAATTTTCATTAAAACTTTCAATTGCTATTACTTTTAAATTAGCTCAAGATACGTTACAACAAATTACTATTGCAAAATATTTTTAAATATATCTTTTATATCTTTAAAGCATTTTACTTAATTAATTAGAATTGAGTATTTAAAAGAAAGTCTTAACATTCGGTGACATACACATAATTGTAAATAATTTCAATAATATTAAATTGAAATGATGCACTTTAAAAACTATAGATTATTAAATAGAAATATAACTCTATTTTTGGTTAATGAAAATCATTGAAAGCCATTGTGTGAAGACATTAACCCACTTATACTAACGTTTGAGAGTGATATGTGGAGAGAAACACAGCACTCAGACTATGGAAGTTCATCGTATTTTGAATCTCATTCCGTTATATTACAAAAATGTTCGGCTCTTTTCGAGACAGTGGGGAACGTTTTGATGAGGTAAGGAACTCATAAGTCTGAGTCGTGAGAGGTAGGGACAAGAGCATCGAAAATGTTTTATGGTGTCATTGACAACAAAACAAATAATCAATAAACAATAAACTGTTGTCATTGAAGCCAAGACAAAAAGTAATTAACACAAGTGATGTGACTAGTAATCACACTAACTACCATATTATTAGATCACACAGATGTTATGAGAAGATTTTAAGTTTTCTATTGATTTCAAATTGGCTCAATTGTGTCGACAGCCATCGAGATGTAGTCATTCATTGTTTAATTCATATTGGATCCAATCGTTAATAGTTCACTCACAACGGTATTAAACACACCGAGAAAAGGTTGTGATTCACGAAATACCATATTAAAACCGATTATTTTAAATTCATGCACTATTTTGCTTTCTGATATCCCAGAAAGGTTAGGAACTCATTGACAGGTTAAGTCTCACAACGATACGATTTAACCTATATTTGCTTTTATAGAGTAATCTTAACAATGCTATCGGATTGATTAGAAGTTTAACTGCAATTTGGCTGTTACTTAGAATAACGATGATTCTTTCTTTTCCATTAAATTCTGAAATAACTTCAAAAGCTATTGCGAGCACATCTACTCGAAGAGTAGTATTAAGGGTACAAACTCTCAAAAAAAAATATAGCAGCACCTGAACCCTTTTAAGTTTTCGAGCCATCGATAAAATTTCGTGAAAAAGAATTAAATGTTACCAAGTGATAGTCACAGGACGTTCAAGGATTAAAACACTTCCGTACGAAGAGAAAATAACAAAAATGAAAAAATGCAAACAAATAAATTAATATTTTATGTCATTTTATGCCATTTTGAGCATGCGTAAAATTCCGTTCCGAAGGCCC